CCCAATCACAGCTCACTGCAGCCTTGACCTGCTGGGCTCAAGCAATCCTCCCACCTCAGTCTCCTGAGTAGCTGGGACTGCAGGCATGTGCTACCTTTCCCGGCTAATTTTTAAATTTTTTTTTTTATAGAGACAGGGTCTCTCTATGTTACTCAGGCTGGTCTCAAACTCCTAGGAAGAAGTGATCCTCCTGCCTCTGCCTCTCAGAGTGCTGGGATTACAAGCATGAGCCAACACCCCCGGCCTGAGATTCTGCATTTTTTAAGAGGATCCCAGGTGAGGCTGAGGCTGCTTACCTGGAGACTACACTTTGATGTCCCTACCGGTGCTTTCTGCAATTTCCTCCCAGATAACCTGCCTGCTCTCAAATTCTTGTCAGTGGCTCCGTTTCTGGAGAAAGCGTTTTTTTTTCTATCTTTCTACTTATATTCCAGGTTCCTTGTTCTTAATTTTCACCAAGACCAGCTACCTTACAATGTGACCCAAGGAAATCACTTCATTTCCTCATCTCTAGAATAAGAGTTTAGACTGTCCAGTTCCCCTTCCCACTCCAGCATTTTAAAGATTTTCTCATTATTCTAGTGATTATGGAACTTCCCACACTTTTTTGGATCAGCTTTCCAGCTCCTGTGTACAAACTGTTAAAATCAGACTGGCTTCACATTCTACTCATCTTCAAAAAATGTCTCTAAACACATGAAATTCGAAGACCTTTATTCAAGCATAATAGTAAAAATCCTTGACATCAGAGAGAAACAGAGATAACAAATGTTCATGCATGCAGATGACATTTTCATTGTAAAAGGAAGAAAGGGACCATTCAGAAAAACACAAGAATAGTAGTTCCAGCACGAGGCTATTAAAATTAGTATGAAACCAACAAAAGATATGAAACCATAATCTGAAGACATCTAGACAGGAGGTAATAAAGATAAGAAAACACAACCGTGAATATGTATGCCGTGTCTGCTTTTTAAGCAAACATCTCTAGAAAAACATACAAACATACACATGCTGTCCCTTTCAAGAAAATCATGTTGGAAACCCACTCTCTTACACTTATGCTTAAACATTTTTGAAATTTCTTTTTTCTTTCTTTTTTCCTTCTTCTTCTTCTTTTTTTTTTTTTTTTTTTTTTTTTTTTTTTTTTTTTTGAGACTCAGCTCAGTGCAGCCTCTGCCTTTTTGGCTCAAGTGATCCTCCTCCCTCAGCCTCCTGAATAGCTGAGACCACAGGCACACACTACCACACCCAACTAATTCTTCGTATTTTTGGTAGAGAGACGGTTTCACCATGTTACTCATGCTGGTCTTGAACTCCTGAGCTCAAGCAATTTTACCTAACCTCAGCCTCCCAAAATGCTGGGATTATAGGCATGAACCACCACACCTGGCCTGAAATTTCTTTAGTTTATAAGAAACTAAGTATACAAGCATACACATAATTCAATATCACCACTTTAGTCACCACTTTTTTACCCAAAATAATACAACCGAGCCTAAATGCAAACTTTATTTCCAGTAATTTAATAAACTTCCCAAATATTAATACAGTTCACTCATGTAACTGTCAGCTATTGCTGCAGAACAGACAACCCCCAAAATCACAGTGGCACACAAAAATAAGTAGTTATGTGTCATTCAAGAGTCTTCATGTCTGCTGGGTTGCTCTGCTTCAGGAGGTGAGTCCTCGGGTTGGCTGAGATGCCTCTGCAATACGTGAATTCAGTCTGGTACCCAGATGCTAATACGCAGCTGTGTGACCTCACGGCAGAGGTCAGGTGTTCCTGAGAACAGAAACACAGGGTGATTCTAAAGGCAAGATTGGTGGTAGGTATATTGCTATCTCTCCACATTCCATTCTAAAGCAAGTCACATAGCCAAGTCCAAGATCAATAAATGGCTCTCACAGAGTTATTGGTATATGGAGTGAATATATGATGAATATCAATTCTTAAATTATGATGATTTATCCATATGGAAGTCATTAAAAAGAAGGCATTTTCCAAGGAGGGGTGCCAAAAGCGATGTGAGTAATAACGTTATTGAAATAAGTGTATAGCTACATGATGGGACCATCTTGGAGGCATAAATTTTTGTTTGTTTTTAAAAGTTATTTTACTGCCTTTTATATAAGTCAAACTTCATGCTTGCCTCAGTGAAAGCATTCAATTCCTATTTATGATTGGATTGTCCTGAAACCTATACAGGAGGCTCCCAAAAGATATCAAGTCAACATTTCCTTATTTCCCCTCTTTCATTAAAAAAAAACCAAAACAAAATATTTTTAAAAGGAAACAAAAATACCACAATCTCCATTCTGATGTCACCATGCTGAGGCTTGGCAAGTCAAAAGTATAAGGATGAAAAGGCACCACCAATTCGTGCGAGTCGGCTAGGCTTCTCGGTGCTATTCCAGATAGTCAGGAGCCCTGGGTTCCAGCCAAGGTGATCCAGGTCGCTTAGCGGCTCCTATCACCTCACCTGCTTGCTCCCCTTCTCCGGGTTTCCAGTTCTCCATCGTAAATGTGCTCCCTGGCGCAGCCTCCCCTGACACTCAGACATCCACCAATCCATTAGATGCTGGAGGTTTTGCGGAGACACTGTGTCCCTAATGAGGACTGCTTTGTGCAGTCACTGATAGCAGCTCTAGAAAGTGTAACAGCTTTTTTATCTCAAAAGATGTTCCTCGTGCTCTGGCCCTAGGGGAGCCGCCTTCCAGACCTGTCTACCCGGGAGCCCCCACCCCGCGCACTTCCCGGACTTCTCCCGAGACCCGAGAGCGCTGACTTTCCCCCACTCGCAATAGTCCTGAGGGCCCCCTCACTTGCAGCCCCCACCTCCCTGCGGCCAGAGGGTCAGAGGTTCGCGGCCCGGGCAGGCAGCGCCAGCGCCCTTTGGAGCTGGGCGGGGCGGGCAGAGCGGGCACGGCCGGGCGTCGGGGCCACAGGCATTGCACTCTAGCCCTGGCCATGGAGCGGCCGGCATCAGGCGAGGTGCTCATGAGCCAGGCCATCCAGCCGGCGCACGCCACTGCCCGCGGTGAGCTGAGCGCCGGGCAGCTGCTCAAGTGGATCGACACTACCGCCTGCCTGGCGGGTAGGCGGGCGCCGGGGCTGCGGGAGCGGCGGCGGCTGGGGGTGGCGGGGAGGAGGAAGGCGAGGAAGGTACTTGCGGACAGCTGAGCCCTGAGCAGCCAGGGGTAGGGGTGTTGCGACAGTGCGCCCGCGCTGGGCATGGCCGAGACCAATGGTTCCCAAATGTGTGGCTCTCAGGACTCCTTCATTCCATTAAATAAGTGAGGAGCCCAGAGAGCTTTTGCGGGGTTTTTTGTTTGTTTGTTGTTGTTTTTGAGACAAGGTCTCACTCTTGCCCGGGCTGGAGTGCGGTGGTGCCATCAGAGCTCGCTGCAGCCTCGACGCCCTGAGCTAAAGCAATCCTCCCACCTCAGCCTCCAGAGTAACTGGGACCACGGACGCACGCCACCAGGCCCAGCTAATTTGGGGGGTTTTGTTTTGTTTTGCTTTTGTAGGGATGAGGGTCTCACTATGTTGCCCAGGCTGGTCTCAAACTCCTGGACTCAAGGATCCCGAAGTGTTGGGATTACAGGTGTGAGCCACCGCACCCAGCCAGCTTTTGTTTATGTAGGCTATTTATACCACATTTACTGTAACAGAAATTTAAAATTTTTTAATTATTTTTTTTTAAAAAAAATGGACTACATGTTGACATAACATTTTTAATTAAAGAAATAACTATTTTCCACAAGAACAAAAGTGTAGCTAGAGGAGTGGTGACAGGTTACATCCTGGCGAGTCTCTCTAAAGTCTGGCTAACAGAGGATTGCTGACTTCTCATACCTGCTTCTGCATTCACCGTGCTGCTACCACACCCTTACATAGTCTCTGGAAAACTCCACTGTGTCCTTGTTAGAGAATGACAGTAAAAATGGCAAAAACATTTATTAAGGACTGAATTATGCCCCCCATGCCACCCACCGAAATTTATACATTGAAGTCCTAAGCCCTGGTGTGGCTCTATTTGGAGTGAAGAATTAAGGCTAATGAGGTCATAAGAGTGGAATTCTGGTCCTATACAATTAATGTCCTTATAAGAAGAGACATTGGAGAGCTTCATCTCTCTGCCATGTGAGGCCACAGCAGGAAGACAGCCATCCACAGGCCAGGAAGAGAGCCCTCGCTAGGACCTACACGGGCAAGCACCTCGATCTGGAACCTCCCTGCCTCCACAACTGTGAGAAATCAATGACTTGTTTAAGCCTTTTTTTTTTTTAAACAGGATTTGAGATTGGTTATATTAAGGTAACAATGGAAGCATGAATACAAAATGAATCCACACGTAGGAAAAAGAAACCATACAGAAACCACTGAGGTTGCTAATAATAATGATGCCTATTTCCAAGGCAACTGAATACATTATGAGACCACTGAAGTGACTTTTAGTTACCTTGTTTAGTGCCTCTGTCTTGTGATGGAGAAACAGTGGCCCACCTGCAGTTGTCATCATTTCTATGACCTGACATCTTTCAAAACCATGGAAAGATCCAACTGACAATCAATTACTCTATACCTTAATAGTTACATTACTATTAGTAGTATAATATTAATCACTGATAATATTACTATTATTAAGAAAACCTGTGTGATAAAGTTGGTTTGGGCAATATGAATCATGCCTGTGTTAAACACTCTGTGGTGACCCGAGGCACCACATAAGCAGGGGACATTATTTAGCCAAGGTGTAATTGAATCTGTATAGTAATACAAAACTGATTTCTCTGGGATTTTCTCAGAGTTTTTTATAGGCCAGGATTATCTTTTTAGCCACATTACTGCAATCCCAGTCATGGCCCCAAGGCATTGCTATGACCCCTAGGCCCTGCTGGATTCCAAAATGTCTTCTCAATATTTAAAGAAAGATGAAATATTCTCACTATCCTCACTTCTGTCTGTGGCCCCATTATTTTTCCAGTTCCTTAAGTCTAAAGGCTTGAAGCCATCTGAGTAATCCTCTATCTCACACGTCCGTGTATTATTTGGAACATCTTACACACACAGTTTTCTATTTGTGAATCTAGTGGCACCCAACTCCTCTAGTTGAGCAAGTCAAAAGTCTAGGAGTCATCCTTGATATCTCTCTCCACCTTACTTCTCCCTTCACATACTCTATGCATGGAGGAAGTCCTATCAGTGTTACCCCCTAAAGGAATCTCTGAAAGCCAAGCACTGTGCCGCACCCCCAATGCGACCATCTAGTCCAAGCTCTCATCATCTTTCATGCAGACTTCAGCAGTGATTTCCAAACCAGTCTCCATTCATTCTGGTCTCCTCTCCACACTGCTTCTAAAGTAACCTTTGAAGATGCTAATCTGATCATGTCATATGTTTTGTTCATTTTTCCCTTTCTTTTCTTCACCAAGGGCTTTAAGGATATTTCTAACATATTCAAGTGCTTCCTATTAAAAAATCTCCCACAGATAATAATTATAAACTCTGGGCAAAACACTAAATAAAAGAGACTTAAGGCAGGTGAAAAGTGAACAAAAGTAGGCTTAGAACACTTGAAAGTTAACACATGAAAGAACAAAATGATGTTGGCTTTTTCTGTGTTTGTTTTTTAAATGACTTGAAGCCTGAAAGAAAATGCCAGTCTGGTCCCAGCTATGGTTCTGATGGTAAACCCATAGGCTTGCTGGATTGAAGAGCCCAAAGACAGGGTTTGGGAAAAGTACAGCTACTGAAATACAAAAGGGAAAGTTCCAGAAAGGAAAGAGCCAGAGAGAGAGAGAGAGCCCTAAAATCTAACTATCATCTTTGTCCAGATACCTGGCAAATCTTGAATCATGTATACTAGGACGTACTCCAGACCTCCTGGTTGAGGCCAAAAGAACTGAAAATAGTTGTGTCCATCTGCAGGTAGACAGATTATAGTTTCAGTTTGGTCAGGTTAACTGCTTGCTTTAAAAAACAAAACCAAAAACAAAACCAACACTTTTCTGAGAAACACAGTTTCTACAATGGATCACTCACAATGGCTAGGATATTATTCAAAATTACTTGACATACAAAGGGAAACATGATTCATTCTTAAGAGAAAAGACAATCAATGGAGATTCATCCCTAGATGACCCTGATGCTGGAATTAAGCTTCAAGGATTTTAAAGCAACTAGTATAACTGTGCTCAAGAATATAATGAAAAATATGGTAATAAAGATTGCTGTAATCCCAGCACTTTGGGAGGCTGAGGCGGTTGGATCACTTGAGGTCAGGAGTTTGAGACCAGCCTGGTCAACATGATGAAACCCCGTCTCTACTAAAAACACAAAAATTAGCCACGTGTGGTGGCAGGCACCTGTAATCCCAGCTACTCGGGAGGCTGAGGCAGGAGAATCACTTGAATCTGGGAGGTGGAGATTGCAGTGAGCCGAGATTGTACCACTGCACTCCTGCCAGGGCAAAAGAGTGAGACCCCATCTCAAAAGAAAAAAAAAAAAAAAAAAAAACATTGAAAAGGCAGTACCTTTCTGCAGAGTAATAGAAACTATTTTTTGAAAGCCAAATGGTAATTCCAGAACTGAAAAATACAGTGTCTAAAATAACAAACTCAATGGCTAGGCTTAACAGCAGAATGGACATGACTGAGAAAAGAGTTAGTAAATGCAAAAATACATCACTAGAAATTATCCAATCTAAGAACAGAAAAAAAAGAATTTTAAAAATAAACAAAGTGTGACCAGGCACAATGGTTCATGCCTGTAATCCTAGCACTTTGGGAGGCTCAGGTAGGAGGATGGTTTGAACCCAGGAACTCAAGACCAGTCTGGGCAACATAGGGAGATCCTGTCTCTACCACACACACAAAAAAAATGTTAAAATTAGCCAGGCATGGTACCATGTACCTGTAGTCCCAGCTACTCAGGAGGCTGAGGTGGGAGGATGACTTGAGCCTGGGAGGTCGAGGCTGCAGTGAGCCATGATTCCACCACTTTACTCCAGCCTGGGCAACAGAGCAAGACCCTGTCTCAAAAAAAAAAAAAAAAAGACGTAAATAAAATAAAGTATCAGAGATTTGTGGAAAAATAAAACAAATGCAATTAGAGTTCCAAATATGGTGAAAGACATACAATTACAGATTCAAGGTTATAGCACATCAAGAAAAACTAATACAGGCTGGACATGGTGGCTCACACCTTTAATCCCAGCACTTTGGGAGGCTGAGGCAGGCAAATCACCTGAGGTCAGAAGTTCAAGACCAGCCTGGCCAACGTGGTGAAACCCCATCTGTACTAAAAATACAAAAATTAGTTGGGCACGGTGGCACACGCTTGTAATCCCAGCTACTCAGGAGGCTGAGGCAGGAGAATCACTTGAACCCAGGAGGCAGAGGTTGCAGTGAGCCAAGACTGTGCCACCACACTCCAGCCTGGACGACAGAGCGAGACTCTGTCTCCAATTTAAAAAAGAAAGAAAGAAAAACGAATACAAAGAATATATCCAGGCATATCATAGTCAAAATGATTAAGAGAAAATCTTGAATGCAGCCAGACTGAAACACCATATATAGGAGAACAATAATTAGAATTACCACTGACCTCATCAGAAACAGTGGAGACCAGAAGGCAGTGCGACAATATATTGAAGAATAATAATTACAAAAACTTTCAACCAAGAGCTTCAAGGCCCTGTGCATAGCCTGTCCTCAGCCTTCACTCCAGCCTCATCCCACCCACTCTCCCTCCTACTCTCTACATTGTAGTCACCAGGACCTTTGTAATTACTGTTCCCTCTGCTCAGCAGGCCCTCCCCTCTGCTGCCCTCAAGCCTTCCTGGACACCCCACCTAGTGTATTATTTCAGTTACTGACTCTCATAAAATCCCTGTTTTCTTCAGCGCACTTAGTCCATTTTGTCATTATATATCTGTATTAGTCCATTTTCATGCTGCTGATAAAGACATATCTGAGACTGGGTAATTTATAAAGAAAAAGAGATTTATTGGACTCGCAGTTCCACGTGGGTGGGGAAGCCTCACAGTCATGGCGGAAGGCGAAAGGCACTTCTTACATGGTGGTGGCAGGAGAGAAAATGAGAACCAAGCAGAAGGGGTTTCCCCTTATAAAACCATCACATCTCATGAGACTTATTCACTATCATGAGAATAGCACAGAAAAGATCCGCCCCCATGATTCAATTATCTCCCACCAGTTCCTTCCCACAACATGTGGGAATTATGGGAGCTACAATTCAAGATGAGGTTTGGGTGGGGACTCAGCCAAACCATATCAATATCCATTTAATTAACCTCTGGCTCATCCACTAGACTCCATGAGAGCAGGGGTCCTGGCTGTTTCCCATTGCCAGCACCTTACACAGAGGCTGCCTTGCATAACACAGGTGCTCAATCAATATCTGCTGAAGGAAGGAAGGAGTGAAGGAACGTTACCACTATTTTTATCAGTCATCATTTCATACTTACTTTACAATCACTTAGCTTCTCTTAGTTCTCCCAGGAAATCAGAAACAGCTTTAGGGTTTTCCACTTCTGCTGGTACACTGTACGAAGGGCAATCAAAAATCAAGAACCAGAACAAGCCAGTCTTGTGAGTTCATGTCATCTAATTGACACTTGTTTAAAAACACAGCACGCATGAAATGACATGTGAAGCCAGGACCCTATGGTGTTCTCCATATTTTTGTTTCTTTTAGTTTAATGACCCTTGAAAATCAATAGCATAAATCATGATTATTGAGCTCCTGAAACCCACATTGAGTCACGTTCTTCTCTGGTAGCGTTCTCTGGTTTGTCTAACCTCTTTCCTGAAAGTTCCTATTGCTTTTATAGTCAAAATCACTATTTAGGACAATGCATTTAATCTTTCTAAACCTAAATTTTCTTATTTATAAAAGGGAGCTAATAACAGTACCAACTTCATGTAATTAACATGCTTAAATGACTAGTCCAGTGCCTGATCAATAATAAATGCTTAATAAAAAGTAACTGTCATGATTTTGATACTTCTTGATCCCTTAAGAAACCTTGTGCTATAGATACAGGATACCCAATATAAACAATAAAAGTTTAAATTTTTTTTTTACTGGTTACTGCATTTTAGTTATCATTTAAGTCATTCACAATTGATAACTCAGCTGGGCATGGTGGCTTATGCCTGTAATTCCAGTGCTTTGAGGGGTCAAGGCGGGAGCATCACTTGAGCCCAGGAGTTTGGGACCAGCTTGGGCCAAATCATGAGAACCTGTCTCTACAAAAAAATATTTTAAACAATTTTTTAAAAGTTAGCTAGCTGTGGTGGCACATGCCTATAGTCCTAGCTACTCAGGAGGCTGAGGCAAGATCACTTGAGCCCAGGAGTTCGAGGCTGGAGTGAGCTATGATCATGCCGCTACACTCCAGCCTGGGTGATAGAGACCTTGTCTCTTAAAAAAAAAAAAGAAAAAAATACTCAAGATACTCATGTTGGTCTATATTATAACACTTTATTACTAAGAATTAATAACCTCAACATCCCATTCCCTCATGTCAAGTAACTGGAATGAATGTTTATGAAGTATTCTTTAATCAATGATTTAAGCATGTATTTGCAAGGTTTCAGTAGTTCCCTGGAAAACTTAAGCTCTGAAAGGGTACTGACTATGGCTGCATCTCTAAGTGCCATGGAGTGGACTGCTTAAAAGATAGAGCTCATGCACTGGCTCACGCCTGTAATCCCAGCACTTTGGAAGGCTGAGGTGGGCAGATCACAAGGTCAGGAGATCAAGACCATCCTGGCTAATATGGTGAAACCGTGTCTCTACTAAAAATACAAAAAATTAGCTGGACATGGTGGTGCACGCCTGTAGTCCCAGCTACTCGGGAGGCTGAGGCAGAAGAATCACTTGAACCCGGGAAGCGGAGGTTGCAGTGAGCCAAGATCACACCATTGCACTCCGGCCTGGGTGACAGAGTGAGACTCTGTCTGGAAAAAAATAATAATAATAACTCATTCAACTCAGTGTCTGGAAATCAGCAAGAACTTAACAAATGTTTGGTGCATTGAATTAAATTGAGTCCACCTTGAGCCTTCCTACAGCCCAATTCTTCCATATTCCCTTCCTTTCCCTGAACTAGTTGGAAGGATGGTTCCTTCCAACTAGTAACATTTGAATGTGCAATTTTCTGCAGAATTAGATCCTAGAAAGGAATGTGTTAAATACGTGCCCAGTGGAGTATCTCTCATGTCTTCTTACCTAGGACTATCAATTAATACATAGGTAGTTATAATGATCTAGTACACAAACGGAAGACAAATTCAGTACAATTTACTCGTTTTTCTTAATCATGTGGCACCAGGACTGAAGTCTCCAAAACTAAAATGAGGTCAAAAGTTCTTATAAAGCCAATATAATCTGTTTGGCTTTCAATTGACTGTTTCCCAAAATCAAATCTGGCAGAAGCACATGTCAAAATCTTTCCCACAGAGGATAAATTCTGGTATTTTTTTATGTAAAGCAAATCCTGCAATTAAAAAAAAAAAAAAATCTGAGCAAATTACGTGCAGACATAGAACAGGGAAATAACCAGGCTTCTTCCTGGACTCTCCCACCCTACTCAATACTCCTCCTTCAAGGCAATTAATGTATACTGAATTTGGCATAAATTTGGTAATAATAAAATAAATATTGACTAAATATCTCCTGTGTGCCCATCTCTCTTTCTCTGATACCCAGAGAAGATCCTCTTTGATTTGGGATGACTCGGGGTTTCCAGTACCACTCAGCGCTTACAGTGGTTAAATCATTCACGCAGCGGGGCGCGGTGGCTCACGCCTGTAACCCCAGCACTTTGGGAGGCTGAGGCGGGCAGATCACGAGGTCAGGAGATCAAGACCATCCTGGCTAACACAGTGAAACCCTGTCTCTACTAAAAATACAAAAAAATTAGCCAGGCGAGGTGGCAGGCGCCTGTAGTCCCAGCTACTCGGGAAGCTGAGGCAGGAGAATGGTGTGAGCCCGGGAGGCGGAGCTTGCAGTGAGCCAAGATATCGCCACTGTGCTCCAGCCTGGGCGACAGAGGGAGACTCCGTCAAAAAAAAAATAAAAAAAAAATCATTTAACCTGTGATGCCTTGATTTTAAAAGAAGAAGGATAGTACCTGATAAAATATTTAAAGTCAGCACCAACTTACTAAAATTGCTATTTCAATAGCTAGATTTGTGGGATATTGGTATTAAATTTCAAATACAAGATCATGTAAGTTAAAATTTAGGATGAAGTGCAGTAATTACCACACAGTAGAAACATAACAGAGCAGAGAAGCTTGTATGGAGCCAGTTGATCCACAAATTGTGGGTACAGTGGTGCTATAATGAATGAGGGATGGATGACTAAGATCAATGCACTTACATTTCATTCCTTTCCCTTATACTGAAATATTCTAATATCACCACTAAAGCAGCATGTTTTTATGTATTTTTTGAAGCTGAGAAACATGCTGGAGTTTCCTGTGTTACAGCCTCAGTGGATGACATACAGTTTGAGGAGACAGCTAGGTAAGTGACATTGCTCCATCGCTCCTTTCTCCTAGGTTTGTTGGTTCATCTGGGACGTGGATTGGTGGCACCTGAGCTTACTCATGCAGAGGTAGTGATCTTGTTTCTTAATAAAATAAATAACATGTGACCCAATTTAAGTAAAAAAATAATCACAGGGCCTACTTATAAGAAACACTCCTAAGTGTAACTTCAGTCTTAATTTTGTGGAGAAATAGTTCTCAGCCTGAGATGCATTGTGGCATAAGGCATAACAGCCAAACAGACTTTCTGCAGGCTCCTTTTTTTAATTGTCTCGCTCTGCTGCCCAGACTGGAGTGCAGTAATGCGATCTCGGCTCACTGCAACCTATTCCTCCTGGGCTCAAGTGATCCTCCTGTCTTAGCCTCCCAAGTAGCTGGGACTACAGGCACGTGCCACCATGCCCACCTGGCTAATTTTTTTTTTTTTTTTTTTGTAGAAACAGGGTTTCATCATCTTGTCCAGGCTGATCTCAAACTCCTGGGCTCAAGCGGTCCACCCACTGGCTTCCCAAAGTGCCAGGATTACAGGCGTGAGCCACCATGCCTGGCCACTATAAGCTAATTATTAATGTCCCCTTCCTGTACTAGAAGAATAACTAATGATAATAAGATCTTTATGATGGTGAATTTCATCATTAGGTTGTTAGGTAAACACTAATTCATCTAAGTAGAGAGAGCAAATTATGAAAAACATTTTATGTGTGAAAGTTCTTAACCATCTCTTATTGTAGAAAATTTCAAGATACACAAACATTTCAAACGTACTTATTTAGGTTGGTAATTGTGAAAACCACAATTACTTTTGCACCAACCTATAAAACAGGAGAGGATAGTACAGTGTATCCCGAGGACCCCTCACCCCCAGCTATAGCAATTATCAACTCACAGACACTCTTGCTTTATCAATACCTCTCTATACTCCCCCATATGCCTGGAGTGTTTTGAGGAAAATTCCAAGCATCATCTATATACAGTCATGCATCACTTAATGATGGGATATGTTCTGAGAAATGCATCCCTAATGACTTCATCCTTGTATGAACATCATAGAGTGTACTTACACAACCTCAACAGTACAGCCTCTTACACACCTAGGGTATGTGGTGTAGCCTATTGTTCCTAGGCTACAAACCTGTGCAGCCTGTTACTGTACTGAAAATTGTAGGCAATTGTAATACCGTGGTGACTATTTGTGTGTCTAAACATGGCTAAACATTAAAAAGATACAGTAAAATACAGTATAAAAGATTAAAAAATGGTACATCTGGCCAGGCGCGGTGGCTCACGCCTGTAATTCCAGCACTTTGGGAGGCCGAGGTGGATGGATCACCTGAGGTCAGGAGTTTAAAACCAGCCTGGCCAACGTGAAACCCCATCTCTACTAAAAGTACAAAAATTAGCCAGGTGTGGTGGCGGGCGCCTTTAATCCCAGCTACTTAGGAGGCTGAGGCAGGAGAATAACTTGAACCCAGGAGGCAGAGGTTGCAGTGAGCCCAGATCACACCATTACACTCCAGCCTGTGTGACAAGAGCGAGACTCCGTCTCACAAAAAAAAAAAAGGTACACCTGTATAGGACACTTACCATGAATGGGGCTTAGAAGGCTGGGAGTTGCTCTGTGTGAGTCAGTGAGTGAGTGCTGAGCAATGTGAAGGCCCCAGACGTTACTGTACACTACCATAGATTTATAAACACCACACAGGCTACACCAAATTTATAAAAAAAATTTTCTTTCTTTAATTATAAATTAACTTTAGATTATTGTAATGTTTTTACTTTATAAACTTAAAAAAATTTTGTTGATTCTTTTGTAATAATACTGAGCTTAAAACACAAGCCTTTTATAGAGCTGTACAAAAATATTTTTCTTTATGTCCTTACCTTATTCTATAAGCTATTTTCTATTTTTAAAATTTGTTATTAAAAACTGTGACACAAACACATACATTAGCTTAGGCCTACACAGAGTCGGGATCACCAGTATCACTGTTCTGCTTCCACATCCTGTCTCACTAGAAGGTCTTATGGGATTTATTAAACCAGGATTCAGTATAGGTGATAGGTCTCTTAAGTGTCTTTTAACATAAAATTTTCCCTTCCTTCTTTTATCTTGCAATTTATTTTTTAAAGAAACCTGGTCATTTGCTTTATAGAATTTACACATTCTGTATTTGCTCACTATAGCCTTGATTAATGTGTTCTCCTGTCCTTTGTATTTCTTGTAATCTGACAGTTACATCTAAAAATTGACATGATGAAAGTTTGATTTTTTTTTTTCTTTGAGATGGAGTCTTGCTCTGTCACCCAGGCTGGAGTGCAATGGCGCGATCTTGACTCACTGCAACCCGGGTTCAAGCGATTCTCCTGCCTCAGCCTCCCAAGTAGCTGGGACTACAGGCCCCTGCTACCATGCCCTGATAATGTTTGTATTTTTAGTAGAGACGGGGCTTTGCCATGTTGGCCAGGCTCAAACTCCTGACCTCAGGTGATCCACAGTGCTGGGATTACAGGCGCCTGCCACCACGCCCAGCTGATGAAGGTTTGATATTTTCGTAAAAATTTCTCATGTCAAGGCCATATAATATCTAATGATCATAGGCTACAACCATTCTGTCATTAGATATTGGTAACATGGTAATATGCTAATTCTACCATTTCTTCTTCATTTGTTTTCTAAAATACTTCTCTAGAGGGAAACTCACTAATGACCTGAGTATCCTGAGGAAAAGTTTGTCCAGGAAAGGCTTGACTCTTTCCCTTTATTCATTAGGAACGTACAGATTTTCATGTACTTGATGTGTTACAATTAATCAATGTTCTTATTCTTTTTTTTTTTTTTGAGACAGAGTTTCACTCTTGTCGCCCAGACTGGAGTTCAATGGCGCGATCTCGGCTCACTGCAACCTCTGCCTCCTAGGTTCAAGCAATTCTTCTTCCTCAGCCTCGCGAAGTAGCTGGGATTACAGGTGCCCGCCACCAGGCCCAGCTAATTTTTTTGTATTTTTAGTAGAGATGGGGTTTCACCATGTTGGCCAGGCTGGTCTCAAACTCCTGACCTCAGGTGATCCACCTGCCTCGGCCTCCCAAAGTGTTGGAATTACAGGTGTGAGCCACTGGGCCTGTGCAATGTTATTATTCTTACAGAAGCTCAGACTGCCGTGTCTTTGCGCAGTGGGAGCTTCTTCAGTTTAATCCCTAAGTCCCTTGAACAACAGCCCAATGTTAAAGATGTTTAGTAACTCCTTGGCCTTCTGCTATAAAATGTTTCAGACTCATCTTTTACATTTCCCCCCCACAAACTTAGAATCCGTTACTTCTCCAAGGAGTCCTGATTCCTTGCAGTAGACATGAGAAGCAGAGACCACAACCTGGGCAGGAAAGGTGCTCCTCACATCAAAATGGGCATTAGTTCTCGGCCTTTTCAGTGGACGGAATTAGAAATTATGTATTTTTAAAGCATTTATATTAATAATCTGTAATCATTTAGGGTTATATGTTTTTACTTAATTTCTTTGATTTTGTGTCTGTATCTCTGGTTTTTAATTTTATTTTATGCTGAATATCTTGATATTTAGATTCAAATTAATATGTATATACATATTAATTAGATTCAGAATAGCAGTACCAATATTATCACTAACAAATGAATAGAGAAAGTAGTTTAAGATTATTTATGAAGTTTCTTTCTCAAACTATGTCTCATCTGGTACAGTCAAGTCACTGTATTTTGAAGTCACTTGAAATAATCCTTTTCCATGTGGTTAAGCTGCTGACTTCATACATTCTTAAGTTCATTTGTTTAATTTGCTTTTTTATTTTGTAGGAATGACTTTTCTTTTCATTTAATTTTGTTTTATAGTTTAAAATATCTACAGGTACCAGAGTCCAATCTGGAAAATAGACCCATTTCACCCCGGGGAATCTGGCTCCTCCCTACCTTCTATCTAGGCCCCTCCCTCTCCCTCTATGTAACCATTTTATTTATTTTGTGGCTTATCTTTCTTTTTTTAATGTAAAGAAATATTTATATATATCCTCACTTTTTTCACTTAAAATAAAAATGAGGTGGAGAAAAGTATATATAGTGTATAAAGTATATGCTGTAAAAGTATACAGTATTTCTATCTAGAAAATCACTCCATACCAATATGCATAGCAGCATTTTGGTCAGTGACAGCAGTCCCATAAGATTTTAATACTGGCCGTGTGTGGGAGCTCACACTGGTAATCCTTGCACGTTGGAAGGCTGAGGTGGATGGATCAGCTGAGGTCAGGAGTTTGAGACCAGCCTGGCCAGCATGATGAAACCCCATCTCTACGAAAAATACAAAAAATTAGCTGGGCATGATGGCACATGCTTGTAATCCCAGCTACTCAGGAGGCTGAGGCAGGAGAATCACTTGAACCCAGGAGATGGAGGTCGCAGTGAGCCAAGTTTGCACCACTGCACTCCAGCCTGGGCAACGAGAACAAAACTCCATCTCAAAAAAAAAAAAAAAAAAAAAAAGATTTTAATACTGCATTTTTACTGCATCTTTTCTACATTTAGCTATGTTTGGATACACGAATACTTACCACTGTTTACGGTTGCCGACAGTATTCAGCACAGTAACATCCTCTACAGGTTTGTGGCCTGGGAGCAATAGGCTAGACCATATAGCCTAGGTGTGTAGGAGGCTATACCATCTAGGTTAGTGTGGGTGCACTCTATGATGTTTCCACAACAACAGAATCACCTAATGAAGCATTTCTCAGAACATATCCCTGTCATTAAACTAGGCATAACTATAAGTAGATATTCATCATTCCTTTTAATAGCTACATAGTACTCCATTGTGGAAGCACACTACATTATTCAACTGGTCCTCCACTGATGAACATTTAGATTATTTCCAGTCTTTTGCTATTACAAATAATATTTCAATTTGCAGTCTTGTGCAGATGTCTGTTTGTATTTTTGCCAGTATATTTGTAGGA